TTAGCATTCTATCTTTGTCTTTGATTTTTAAGAACTTGATTATAATGTGCTTTGGAGAACATCTCTTTGGGTTGATTCTCATTGAGCCTTTAATTTTTATGTCTCTGGATGTCCATATCCTTCCCAAGACTTGGAAAGTCTTTAGCTAGTGCTTCATTAAGTCATCTTTCTGTGCCTTTCTCTGTCTCTTATCCCCCTAGAACACAAACAATGTGAACACTTTGTTTGCTTAATGATGCCCCATGTACCCTGTAGATTTTCCCTTGTCTGGTGGAGCATCTGGTGGAGCATTCATCTCCCTTTATCTAATAGAGAAGCTTTCATAGGGAAAGATTTTTTTTTTTTTTTTAATGTATAGATGCATGCTAACGTGCTGGTTGGGTAGGATGTGTGGATTTGGTTCCAGGTCCATGCAGCATCTTCATCTGTAGCCTATGTCAGCAACACTTGTGAGTGCCTCGGTGCTCAAGGCTACAGGTGTCTGTGCCGCTACTCCACTGGGTCAAGGGTTGCCTCCCCACTTGCGGTGGGGTTGAAGAACACCACAAGGATGCAGAGACTAGTCTCTCCTGGGTTAAATGTGACCTCCCTGCTGCAGGGTCTGGTTGGGGGCTGGCTGGTCTCCATTGAGTGGTGTGTCGTCTCCTCTGCACTGAAACAGAGTAGCTGCAGGCTCCTGGGCATGAATGGTTAGCTGGTTATTGGGTCATGTTGTTTTCTTCCTACCACCCAGGATCTCCCATTCCATTGGGGATATGGTGGCATTTGGGCTCTGGTGCAGAGTCTTGGCTGTTCCCTGGGTCTAGGTTCTCCACAGCCAGGGTCAGGGCACTACAACTACTTGTGTCAGCACTGTACAGTTGTGGTACAGCCTGAAACATGGGGTGATGCAGGAAGTACTTACTTATGCCCAGAATAGCACACACTCTAGCATTGACTTTCACGTCAAGATGGCATCGTACAGCAGCAGCCTGGGTCAAGGAGAGTGTGGACGCAATGTGGTCTCTTTTCTTTGGAGCAATCCAACCATGTGCACTTGGACAACCCCTGAGCTTAGGTTCAGAGGATGCCAGATTGCAGGATAGCCTAGCAGCAAAAATTATAGGTGTCTAAACTTAATATTATTACTATTAACTTTTGGTACTGGGATTAAACTTGGCCAACTGAGCCCTTTTAATTTTTTTTTAATTTTTATTTTGAGACAGAGTCTCCCTGAATTGCCCAGGTTAGCCTTGAACATGCCATCTTCCTGCCTCAGCCACCAGAGTCACTGGGATTATAAATGTGCCACCATACTGCTGTACAAATGTATTGAAGTCTTAAGGGGGGAGTGCAGGGTATCTTTTTTTTAAAGGGGGGGGGGAGAGAGAGAGAGAGAGAGAGAGAATATATATATCATTTTTGGAGATGGACACAATACAATGCCTTTATTTTTATGTGGTGCTGAGAATCGAACCCGGGTCTTGCCCGTGCTAAGCAAGCGCTCTACCACTGAGCCACAATCCCAGCCCTGCAGGGTATCTTTTGATTGTCTTTTTCCTTTCAGGAGAATACTGTTTTGATTCTGAGCTCTTCCTGACTCTGAAGACAGGTTGGCAGAGCCGGGAGAGTTTGTTTTGTGTAGCCATCCTGACTCTGCAAGCTCCTGAGGGTCTCTACCACTCTGCTCTACCCCAGCATGCTCCCTTAGAAACTCCAGCAGGATGTACTTGCTTATCCATTATTTTGGTCCTTTGTGAGAGGGGCAGGCATTGGGTTCCTCTACTCAGTCATTTGGTTCTGCCTGCTTTTAAAATATGTTAAATTTATTTTAGTCTGTGTAAGGAATATAAATTCTCTGTGAAAGCCATTAATGTTCTGCAACACTGTGAATTTTCTCTTTCCAGGCAAATGATGGAGGTTGCACTTCATGACCTGTGAAGTGAGATGTGAGTCTATAACTTACTTTAGGAAATGAGAGGAGTTTGGAACTCATGCAAAGCACGTGGTGAATCTCTAGAAACCAATGTGTGTGATTTATCACATTCTCTTTCATTGTCTGTGATTTTAGATAATGAAAGCTCTATTACCTTAAATCCTGAAATGAGAATTCCTACTGTTTACAATATCATGAGAAGGATGTATAGTATGTGCATGAAATAAGTTTTTGATCATTCAAAACATGGAGATTTGGGGTTGTTTGCTTCAACAACTCAAAGTAGCCTTTCTTGATGGATATGTTCTTCAAGGAAACAGCACAGTGAATTGTATATCGGAAGCACTTTATAACCAGAAGCTTTTCAAAGCATTAATGACACGCCAAAAGCAGCATAGTAAAGTAGTTAAGACTGTGATTTGGAGCTAGATGGCATGGGTTTAGAGCTTGATTCTGCTGACTACTAACCATGTGAGCTTGGGCAATTTACTTAAACTGTTTGGAATCAGTGTTCTTATAAAATATCATAATACCCACATCATAAGAGCATTATAAAAATATTAAATAAATTAACATTTGTCAAATGCTTAGAGGCATGCACAGTAAGTTCCCTTACTATTTATACAGGTAAAATATAGAAATAAATTGTATATGTAAAGTTTTTAGAAAAGGATCTAGCACAGAGTAAGCCCATCAGGAATATTTATCATTATTACTAATATTTCAAATAAAAGCGATTGTTGGTTAGCAATCAAATACTTGACTGATTATCATATTTTCTGGGAAAGACTAATAGGGGCCAGGAAACTAAAAACAGGCAAGGGAGACCGTATATTTTTTTCCTTCTGATTTGGGATAACAAAATTAGCGTCCAATCCGTTGGGCTTTACCTCTGGGAAGATGACTGGACATTCAGCTGTTGTTCTCTTTGTGTAATCAGACAGGAAGCAGAGAGCACTGGGGAAGGAAGAAGACAAACTAAGGCATTTTCTTTACTTATCTCTATCACCCAGAGTAAAAGGAAATAGGCCACCTGTGACTGGAGCTGAACACTTCTGCCAGTGTGAGATAAGCAGCCCAGGGTGATTTCACACAGTCGAGCAAAGACACTTTTCTTGAAATCTCATGAAAGATTGGCCCTGGGATTTGTCAGGATGGTTTATTCATGAGCATCGTCTGATATACTCATTAAAGACACAAGATTTTCAGCATTTCATGGTGGTGTTGGGAGAGGAGAGCTTCTGAAGAACTCCAGGGCAGCTTCTGAGTTTTAAGCTGGTTTGTTGGGGGAGTCTTCTGTATGCTTACATTTGCCTTCCCGGAGTCTAGTCCTAGAGTCCAGTTTGACGGACTGAAATACCACTGCCACCTTGTGGCACCATATCTAAATTACAGGCTCAATGCTCACACGTGATAAAATCATCAAAATTAAAATTTTCAAATCACTACCCACAGTCATATTTAATTCTTAGTCATTACTGCCATTTTTTTTAAAATTCACAAGTATATATTTTTGAATTTTATGGATTATCTGATGTAGAATCTATATTAATAACACCATGCAACGATGCAACCTCATACCATTTTTATTCATTCCCTCTCTTAAAAACTGAATTTGAAAATATGACTTTTCTTTTGATTCTAAGTATAAACTCTCATAACATGTTATAAGTTTATAGGATAAAAGGATCCTTATGCACTTTTAACATGTTCGGTAGGTAGCTCTTCTGTCAAAGACCCTGTGAGAGGTAAAATCTTAAATAGATGTCAGATAGGAATAATTCATTTTACATATTATAATCTATAATTGACCAATAAGGAAGAGAACATGAAAAGAAATTTGTATTCAGAAACTTTTCTTCTTTTGATTTCAGGGAATTCTGACTCTTATTCACATGTTAAAAAAAGGTTCTTTCTTAAACAGTTGAATTGGCATAGATTTAGCTTTGACAAACCCAAATTCTTCCTGCTTTACCTTCATCATGAGGCATGGTCACATGGAGCAAAACGGGAGCAGAAAAAAAATGCTGTCTTCTCAAATATAACTTGGATTTCCTAATGGATATGGCATTGAGGTTTGTTTTATGAGGAGTCCATAAGAACCAAGCATAGAATAACATACCTTTGAAACTGGGCATCATTCCACTTAGCAAAAATGTGGTAACTCCACAACAAGATAGTTGGCAATGTTTAAGATGATTTACAACCGAAGAGTGTATGTTCTCCATAAATAATAAAATAAATGTTAACAAGGAAGATGCTCATAAATGAAGTAGATGAAAATTAATAGTAGATTCCATAGTCATCTTCTTGGTGCCCTGCCAGCCTCTGTATAAAGACTTGTTTGGGTAGATATTTGTAGCAATGCTTTTGAAAATTAAAAAAAAAATGGAGGTAAAATTTAGATAACAAACCATTTAAAAGTGGACAACTCAGTGTTATTTAGCATATTTATGATGTTCTGCAACTACAATATCTACCTAGTTACAAATGATTTTCTTCATCTACAAAGGAAAATCTGTACCCATAAGTTACTTGGTGTAAAAATGTCTTGAAATGATAAGTACAGCGAATTTCAAGAGGTTTATAGAATATGACTCAAAAGTTTCAAAATCATGTTATCAAGTGTCAAAGACCTCCATATAAGGTTTTATCTTGATTTTAAGGGTTTACATTTCTTCTAAAGGTTTTTCAGCTTAGCTGTCAATTGGGAAGATTTAATCAGGGTATTTAAAGAGTCTCACATGATATAATCAGAAAAGTAGTTGAACTATGGGACACTGATGAAAAGAATTCAACGGCATGTCATGGATGGTCACTGGCTTTGAAGACAGGACGCATTCTTTGCAAACAGAAAAGCCAACAAAATATGCACAAGGAGTCTGTGGGTTTGTTATATGCATTTTATTAGAAAATAATGGGGTTACTTATGCAAATAGGTGGGAAGATATGTAGACAGGCACGTCATGCCCACCAATTTGAGGTATAAAAAGGTGCAAGCAGGAGGACATCTTCATTCACACTTGGGTAGCCTGTGCTTCCTACACCTCTCCAACACCTCTCCAGATCCTCTTCAAGGCCCATCATGACTCGCTATTTCTGCTGCGGAAACTACTTCCCAGGCTACCCTTGCTTTGGAACCAACTTCCACGGGACCTTCAGAGCCACGCCCCTCAACTGCATCGTGCCTCTGGGTACCCCCATCAACCACTGCTACAGCTCCCGCAACCACTGCTTTGGAGGAGGCAACTACCAGAACCTGGGCTGTTGCTATGGTAGCAGCTATTACAGGCCTTGGGGCTCTGGCTCGGGTTTCGGCTACAGCACCTACTGATGGACCAGTGGCTCTGGCGACTACAGGACTCCCCCTCGATTCTCTGCAAAGAACAAGCTGAAGAGCAATGACGGTCTTCCTGCCTCCAGATGCTCTGGGGAGATGCTGACTTCTTACTGCTGTCCTGCTCTTCCATGATGCTTCACAAGTCACCCTGAACTCAAATTTGAAACTGGTACTCATCTACAGCCTGGGAAAGCAAGACATACTGAAATTTGGCAGTTAAGCCAGTAGTTTGCCTCCCAGAGTTGCTCTGCTCATATATTAGTAATTTGGACATCAACATTTTAAATTAATTAATGTATTTGAAATTTAATGTATTTGAAATTGGGTGTGGGTAGGAAGGAATTTTACTGTTAGTCTCCTAATAAATCTACTTCATTCAGCACACACATTTTTGTTCTGGTCATTTATTCTCCTGTGTTTTTATGTTCTTGAATTCACCAATTAGTTTCAACTTTGGCTTTAACCAAATTCTATTCTGATTTCAGGCTGTACAACCAGGATAGAATGACTGTTAACAAATTTTTAAATATTGAGATTTTAATTTAAACATTCCTCACGAATGTCCCAAATTTCATCCAAATATACTGTATATACTATAATTTTGGCATCTCTCTATGCTGATTTCAAACTGGAACATTTTTTAGTTGCTGAAAGCTAAAAATTAACTTTCTTTCTTTTTTTTGGTAAGTGACACAATTCTATTTTGGTTTATTTTTCCTTTCCTACTGTTTCCAATATCAGCTCTAGTGAGAGTCAAACTCACAGGTTGTTGGAAAAATTATAACTAAATGGATCTAGGTATCAGATTCTATCTATAGGATCTCCTGAGATCTGGTCACTAAAGGGAAGTTAACTGCTAAAATCAGATAGTATTTTTACCTCTTTTAATAGTTGGGCTTTATTTCCCCTTCCTCCTCCTCCTCCTTCTTCTTCTTTTTTTTTTTTTTTTTTTTTTTTGTGGTGCTGGGATTAAACCCAGGGCCTTGTGCATTCAAGGCAAGCACTCTTCAAACTGAGATGGATCCCCAGCCCTTCCCCCCACCTTCTTTATCTTGGATTATATGTATATCTAATAATAAAAATGAAGCTTTTATTTTTTTGGAATGGTATTTACCATCAGAGCACTTGAAATGATATATGGTCTGCACTTAGAAAATGTTTCTTGTCTTGCTTACAGAGTAACCTCTCCTTTCCTGAAGCAAGATATGTTTTGAATTAAAGCCCATTCATTCATGTGTCAAATATTTATTGTTCTGTTGCATCTGAGAAGATGCTCAATTAATTGTCCTTTGACTTGACTTGTTAAATCTCTGCCACATGGGGACAAAATATTATAAATTTTGCTTATTCATGCATCAAGAATTATTGGGCTCTGGTCACTATGTCAAGAAATTTGAGGGTATGAAAACACATAAACAGGTATAAGCTGGCCTGAGAAGCTGACTATCTTCAAGAGTGAACTCAATCTTTCAAAATATATTTACCTCACTACATACTTATAATACCAAGCACCACCTAAGATCTGGACGTGGAGATCAATAAAACATAGTCCTTGCCCTCAAGAGTTAAATACATTATATTTATCAAAAGATAAATATTTCTTACCCATGTACTTTTCAGGACTCAAAGTAGGGAACAGTCTATGATCAGACAATGCACACACACACACACACACATATTCAGACACACAGAGTAAGTGTGTGTAGAAGGCATGTTTACCTATATAAATGTGACCATGGGAAGGGGTAAGGGTTATATATAAAAAAAAGACATGGCTATTCAAAAGGGTAAAAGAAGAGGGATATCTGAAGATGAAATTGGCTATTATTGGCAAAGCTCCTACACGTAGGTAGGATGACATAGTGGTAGGGAAATTCCAGGGGTTTTGAATACTGAATGGGTAGTTCAGGGTCTCTACCCAACCATGGTGTCTAGATTCTATTATCATGGCCAACATTTATCTTTTAAGTCCATATATGTTTTGTATTTTGTTAATTAAATTTTTTAAAAATATTTTTTAGTTGGATAAAATACTTTTATTTTATTTATTTATTTTTATGTAGTGCTGAGGATTGAGCCCAGTGCCTTACATGTGCTAGGTGAGGGCTCTACTGCTGAGCCACAACCCCAGCTTTCGATTAAATGTTTTTTAATATTTAGAGTTTCAAATTTACAGCAAAACTACAATAATAGTGCTAAGAAATCCTGCATACTCAGATTTATTATTTTTTTACACTTTATACCATTTACTTTATCATGATATTATATACATACACATATAGAGTATATATGCAATACTATTTATGCATATTTTTTCTCTTCATATATATACATACATGTATGCATATATGTATATATAATGTATGTATATTATGTATGTATAAAGCTACTAATGCCATTTACCCTAAGAACAAGGACAACATAATTATGAAAATTAGGAAATTTAATATGAATATAATACTGTTATCTAACCCTTAATGCGTATTCAGATTTACTCAATTGTTACAACAGTGTCCCAGGAAGTTACTTTTTTCCTGGTTCAGGGTCCAATCCAGTATTGTGCATGTCTCTTTAGTGTTCTTCACACTGGATCAGTTTCTCAGCTGTTATATATCTTGACTTCAACTTAAAGAATACAGACCAATAATTTTATAGAATTTCCCTTGGTTTGGGTTGGTTCAACTTTTCCTATGATAAAATGCATATTATGCATGTTTGGTAGAAATGCCATAGAAGTGAAACTGTCCTCAGTGCATCCTCCTATCAAGAGAAACATTATGTGGATTTATGTAAAGTTTCATCACCTGTGAAGCTGGTATCTTTCAGGTTTCTTTACTATAAAATGACTATTTCCCCCTTTGTAATTGATAGTAGATTTGTGTGTAGATATGTTGATACTCTGCAAATATCTCTTATCAAGATTTTATGCACTAATTTTAGGACACATACATCATTTTTTCATCTTATAAATATGTATACATTTATTAGATGCAATTCTACAGTAAGAAATAATTGTATCTCCATTTATTTATTTATTTTTGGTTACCTACTTGTTTCAATATTTATATCAGTATGATCTCATGGAATCTTACTTTATTCAATATGCTGTATTCCATTAATAATATTGTTAATTTTCAGGTTCAAATTGGTCGAGATTCGTTCTAGTGGGAACACTTCATGTTGGCTCATGTGTCTTTTAGAAATGGCTCCATCACTATTTGACCATTTATTTCCTTTCTGGCTTAAGATAATATTCCAATTCATCTTGAATTTTTCTGTTATAATTATGGAATCAGTGATTTTACCCTGGAGACCTGGGTTCTTTAAGTGGAGGATAAATTTAGAAAAAAAGATATGGGTATTAGCAGCATGCTCGTTGCTATGGTGTCCTGCTGTATTTTATCCACCTGGATATCCCATCATATGCTATACTATCATTGTTATGATTGATTTAAGAATGACACCATGAAAAGCTACATTGGAGCTCTATGTATGGTTTCAAAATTCACGACAGGAAGGATTCACTTTAAGGTGTGAGAGGGAATGGCCTTCAGTCTGGAGGGGCTGGTTCCAAAGGCCGGTGAGTGGCAGAGCGTGAAATGCAGTCAATCACATAGGAGCCCTGATAACCCCATCCCCATTCCTCAAGTTGATTTTTTCTTAACCACCTTATCTCTGTTTTAGCCCCAGTCCTAGCATTTTTTCTTAGTGTTCTGAGTCCAAATTTTCTTTGGGAAATTGCAGGAAGATTGGCTTCCTCCTGGCTTGTAACTCCATCTTTTTGTGGTTTCTGGATTCTACTCCTTTCTGTTTTCCCTCCTTCTCCTTTCCATCATACGGAAATCTAGTCAATCATGCCTCAATTGATATCATCCTTACAATTCTGTCATTGTTGGCTTTAACTTCATTCATTCCTTTACTATAGTTCAAAGGGTTCTGGAAAAATAGAGGGGAAAAACTTGTGGTCAGCCTTCCATCTTGAACCTAAAAACTATAAATCCCTTAAAGAGGGACCAAAAAGGGGGCTAAAAAAGATAAAACAAACAACTTGTCTTTTCCTGTAGTAACTATGCGACAGATAAAACAACAAACAATTTCACTACTTATGTAACATTTTTTTGGAGGTACATTTTGATGCCCACTAAATCACTGAAGAGCAAACCAAAATTAAGTAGTTAGATAAATTGCTTGAGGCTGTATCATTCATTTTAAAGAAAAATGCCAACATATATACCAAGGAGATTCTGACTCCAAATCTGTTCTTCTACTCAAAACAAATTAGACATGACTTTTAGAGTTATAGAACTTTTCTCAAGAAATATCCCCTTTTAATGCTTCCTCTTATTCCATTAATAATTGTATCTTGTATTCATATAGTTATTACAGTTTACAAAATATGTAAATATAATCTTTAAAAAAATTTTATTATTAGTTGTTCAAAACATTACATAGTTCTTGACATATCATATTTCATACATTTGATTCAAGTGGTTTATGAACTCCCATTTTTACCTCATATACAGATTGCAGAATCACATCGGTTACACATCCACTTTTTTACATACTGCCATATAATCTTATTATTTAATTCTAACAACTATCTTGGGAGTTTGATATCATGAGGAAATTGATGGACATTAAAAAGTTTATCCAAGAGGGCAAATATTCACCAAGTGGAAAACAGACTTGAGCCTGTAGTTTAAACTGAAGTCCTTTGATGCCTTCCATGGACACTGTTCTGCCACTAACAACAGGCAGAACATTATTTATGTGTCTGTAAATTTGATCCCAACTGAAGATATCAAGATCCTTCAGTGTTTCCACAAGCTGGCCAATTCTTAATAATTCTTAGGCTCCATTTTTAATCTCAATACTAAGTCCTTGGATTTCCTTCCTTGCTCTCTCTATGAAATGGTGACAGGTCTTTGTTGCTATTGTTTTTGCCTCAGTTCACACCTTGATCATTTCTTGTATGGAGCACACCACCAGCTGCC